GTAATGATAATAAGGCTGGAGGGCACCATTTTGGATATTTCTTGCAATAAAAAATTAAAATTAAAATTGAAATACCACGCAGATTTTTCATTTTAATCTAATATCTTATATAAATTAAGCATTCAACAAAAGGCTAAAAACTAACGCCTAAAACCTCAAGGAGACGTCGCCAGATATGAATTACTTAATCAAAGTTGTTCAGTTTGACTAAATATTTATCATTAAAAGTATCTCGCCAGACTTTCCAGAAATATCCTTTTCCGGAACCGATTTTTTAATTGTACGATTATTATATTTTTATATTTAGTCTATGTCGAAACCACTCATGTAGCTCACGGGATTTTCTTTCAAAAAATTGCTGTCTTCACGCGACACGCGAGTTACCCGAGAAAATGGAAATAGGAATCGTACGTACTGTGTAAACGCGCGGCGTTTACGCGGCGTCTGTATATATTGCGGATTCGCAACACCGGAATCTTGTGTAACCGTGTCGGCAGCGAAAATTACGTGTAACGGCTGTTTGAACTGCTACTGCTGAATTTGACCGCTTGTCAGCTACTTTCAATTACACGCTCTCCACACCGTGTTGCGAAACCTGTTTCGGTGTGTATTCAAGTGCAAAGCTATCGATTTACGGCTCGGTAAAGGGATTGGCACTTGAAGAAACGGGGAAGAGAAAATGAACACTTTTCATGCCTTTTGATGCCAATATTTTCTTTCGGTTTTTATTTTTGATATAAAGAAAAATTTTTTAACATGTTTTAACATGTTTTAAACGGCTCATTCTTACCTTTTAATTTACGTCGCGATTTTTGTATGTCGTTTATGAAAATATCGATCAAAATGTTAGCATAACATGCTATAAATCGCATCTATGAATCGATTGATTTTGGACCCGATACCTTTTCACGAAGGGAATATGAAAATATTAAAATATATTGACATGAATTTTTCATGAATTTTTTCATATTTCGTGTGTTTTTCATGAATCATACAATATTTATAACGCAATCTCTTTGTCCGCAACTTAATTTCAGCTTTATTTTGCAGAATTACATATACAGAAAAGAAGAATATTCTTGATTTGAAAATATCTTTCATTTTAACGTGAAAATTTTGAAATTTTATTATATTGCGTTAAACTTGAGTGAAGTCATTTTATATAGTTTAATCAAGAAAAAAAGTTGAAATAAAAAGTTGAAATTCTTATAAGATTATGGATTGTATACGAGTATATAAGTTTTGATTTGACACTTTTTTTTCTGTGTAAAATCCGGATTGTCTGAGTTTAGGTGTCAAGATATTTGCACGGTAAAAACATGCCAAAAAAGATACGGCAATCAAATTTTCATTAAAGACGAACCAATTACGAATCGATCAAAGATTCCGTCGATGTAGCTTTCTAGGATGGATTTTCGAGCAACTTGTATAAAATTGCGCATTGGATCGAATCGAAACGAGCTCCCCCGGCCCAGACTGTCTCTCTATAATTACAGAGACTAACGACGCGATTTTGTGCGTGTCGGTGAAAAGCGATGTTCCCGCTCGTGCAACTTCGCAAGATTGATTTTCTGCAATTAGAGGACGGTCTTAACGAGTTTCCGTTGAAACAGAATACTTTTTACCGACCATATCGCGTACATCTCGCGATGACGTTTCGCATGTCTTAATGGATTCCCCGAGTTTTAATATTTTAAAAAGATTGCGATCCTCTTGCGTATGTCTGGTTAATCAACGATACCTGTCGAAGAGCTGCTTGACATGTATTAGAGAAGAGAGCGGTTTAACAGGGAGGAAACTTTTTGAAGTCCGTCCTCTTTATTAAAAGCCTGATATTTCCTTCCGGCTATTTGATCCAGAGGCAGGGAATGTGTAACGTTCTCCTCTCAAAAGCGAGCTCATAAACGACGACAAAAAATGACGAACGACCTGAATAACAAACCGCTCAAAGGGGATATATTTAATAAGTAAAGCGGATCACCATCTTTCTTTCTCGCAGTTTAAGACGCGATTTTCAGGCTAATTAAAAGCTCTCATGACTATATCGTGATCCCGGTTAATTGCACGGTATTGTAATTACGCGTTGCACGCGACGCGCTGCGTCTGGAAGCGGATTATATTAAAAATGCGTCAAAGAGCAGCGCGAGTCATGTGTTAATTAATTCGCGTTTGACCCGTTATCGTGAATTAAATTCATTCAAGCCACTCGATTGAGTTTTTTTACACTGATAATAGTGAGTTACAATAGCATGCGATCTACTATTATTTCTAATCGAATTTCCACTGCCTTTTCGACGCTAATATAATACACGTCGGTCGATTTCATTGCTTGCTTGTTTCACAAAATTTGCAACGGATTTATATTTTGCCGAATAAGAATTAGCGTGGCGTTTGTGTTACAGGATAGAAAGTTTCATTGATACGTAACGCGTCAAATATTGAATATCTCGCGTGAGAGTATCAGTCCCAACGTTAATCAAAAGCGCTCGTTAAATTTCGCGCTGTAATTGCTGCAAATAGTTTCTAACGCTTCTCCGAATCGTCGTTTGTCGATTATGCGCTCTTACGAGAAAGCCACATGCTCGCGACTCATTCGCATATATGTCAATCAAGCCGGCGTTGAACTCACATTAGCGTTAAATGCATACGCGTCACGCGAATACGCGGCTGTATCTGTGCATCATCACCGATCATGCAAGTATTTCCGCGCCCGTTAACAATTAATTTAATGCGAGAGCAATAAAATCTGCGTACAAATCGGATCGATATGCGAATGGCAAGTTAATGAAATGAATCTGATCATCAAGTGAATGAAAGAAATAATCCTTATAATCCGTCGTGAACAAGAAGCTTTTTACGCAAGTCCAGTTTATTTCTGATTTAACACATTGTAATTACTAATAACTGGGATATATTTATAACATACAGTCTTCGGTATGTTAATAAATCAGCGCAATTAATGTTCAAAAACCACTTAAGTGCTTAGGTGACTTGGATGTTTTATTACGTTTTATTTTTCGATGCCGTTATTAATTCATTTTTCCTGAGACTCCGTTCACTGCTTTCTTTTTCTCCAATTCTTTTTGTCCGGCATGCTGCGAAAAAGATAGGCAACGCGCGTTATCTGTCGCGGAATACCGCGTCCGGGCTACCAGGCTAGTTGCAAAGTGGTGAAATCATGTCTCCCTTGACAAACGGCGAAACAATCGCCGCGAGTGTTTGCACGTCGCACTCAATTACGTTCTCGAGCCAATATGCGCGGGCGATGCGAAGCGAGACGAGTGCTTTTGTTCCGTCTGCGCGTCTCTGTGTACGTGCGCATCTCTGATACGTGCCACATTCTGCCGCGCTCTGATTGTAAGGATTTGCACCGTGTCCGTAATTATGGGGCCACCAGGTGACGATTGTACGCTAGTTTTCGATTCTGCTCGGTCTATACTAGGGTGCCGTCCGGCGAATACGAAGCAAACGAGTCGGCTTTTTTTTTTAATTATTCAAGCTGGCGTCATGAAATGCCGCCGATGATGGCCACGCAATCTCATAGTCCTCGCGCCATCGTCGTCGTCGTCGTCGTCGTCGTCGTCGTCGTCGTCGTCGTCGTCGTCGTCGTCGTCGTCGTCGTCGTCGTCGTCGTCGTCGTCGTCGTCGTCGTCGTCGTCGTCGTTGTTGTTGTTGTTATGTTCATTGTCGTAGTCGTAGTCTTAGTTGTCGTCGTCGTCGTCGTAGCACGATTAAAGCGCGTACGGGGTAAATCCTCGCACGTGTTTCCGCGCATTAGCACGTATGCCATCTCCTGGTACGTGGTCCCGAGAGCGGTGCATTCGTACCCGAGCAGCCACCACCCGCGCAATTATCCTGGATCACTGACTATGAACCGACAATTAGCGGCGCGAGCCGACTGAACGCGACCGCGATGTTTCCAAACTCGGCATCCGCGAGCTCGCCGCACAGGTATTTCCGCAAGTTGGAAGTAGTGGGACCCTGGTGCGGTTCGGTCGAACTGACATAATCTTTGCCCGCGTAATTACTTTGGATCGCTATGAGGGACAACCAGAGCTGCGCGAGTGAGCAAACGTTACGTAACTTCGTGCAATTTAACGCCAGCGCGAAAATTCCGATGCTACCGGCATGAGGAGACTCTAGGGAGAAGATATCTCCACTACGATTTGTCCTTTTATTACTGGAGTGTGCATCCGATTTTACACATAATATTATTTGACTTTGTACAGTTAAACGTTTAATTTAATAGGTCAGAAAATAGATGTGGAAGTAATATGGATATCTCATATTCCTGCCTTATCTCTTTCTACACACTATTGAAATTTTCATAGTGTAATTATTAGAACTGCATACATCGCATGCATTCTCCTGCAGCCGGGAAATCGTTTTTGAGATAAACGTTACGCGAACCTAAATTCAAGTTTTAAATACGTATTGGTTCCAATTAGCGTTTGAGAGTTTTTCACGAGTATGTGTTTCTCATTAATTCGCGATTAGTAATGCAAGAGTGCGCGCGTTGATTAGAGGTAGACGACTGCGAAAAAGTTCAACTTGCCGCGCGAAAGTTCTTAAAGCTTAAAATACAACGTAATGGAACGGAGATTTCTTACAACGCTAACACGTTTGATTTTACGGAACACCTATTTTGCCAGCGATTACGTTTTTCTACGGCTCTACGCGAACGTTAATGATACCATAGATGTATATTCGCGCTAACTACGAGAAAGCAAGGGGGTACTTGATTGCAAAGATTACATGCTTCGCGGTACTGCATTAATTTTAGCGACGTGACAAGTTTTCCGCACGAGCGCGAAAATTAAGGGACTGTATCAGTTTTCATCGCTGACATTCAATTACGTAAATTAGTCTCGCAGGAGCACGTTATCTCGAGCATTCCCGCAAGAACGCGGTAAGTTTCCTCGAAGGCGAAGTCGGGCTCTCACTGGACAAGTTAGTCGTTTCCTAACGTTCCGAGGATTTCGAATGAGATTGCAACGTACCTTGGCTGATCGCGATCGCCTCGATAACCAGGAGAATACCAGCGAGTACCAGCACGGCGAGCCAGCGACACAGCATTTTTAACACCTCGATCGCTCGCTGCACTACCGATCCTTGCTCATTAACCGTTACCAGTTACTCGCTATCGCGAAGCACGATGTGCGGTCATCGATCTTTTACGTCTATTGCCGTGTCCGCGCACTGTGCAACGTCTTCACTGTGTCGTATCTTCCACAATGAAAACGGAGTTAGATTTCTTTTTGTCAAATCGAGAGTAGTGCCTTCTCACAAGAATAGACAAGACACTTAAGCTTTCACCGCAAAAACCGTACACATGTTCCGTACTTCACTATAAGTAATTTTTAACTCTTGCATGAACATTTGTGTTCCGATAAAGAAATTACATCACGATTAACACCTGGAGGGGAGATTAATATCATCCACTGCAACGGCACGATTTTGTTAGAACTCAACTCTCAATTCGTGAAAGCTTTTCAAGCGTAGGACGCGAATGCCATGATATATTGATATATCAATGGTATTGTCAGAGACTATGCGCGTATCGATCATAAATCCTCGACGGTAATCCACGGTAACAAGATTTAAATGCTCACAAATGATGTTCTCCCGCGGCCGCTCTCACGCGGCCGAGGTGCACTTGCACGCGTCCCCGATGACAGCCGCGCTCACGTGGAGCTTCCGCCTGGACGAGCGTCGCGACGCGCGATCCGCGAGTGCCCTGTCTCAGGCGCAGCATCCTCCGGCCGGGACGCGCGCGTCGGCCGCATTCGGTCGGCAATCAGGATTCGATCCGAGTCGCGAGATTTTTTCCCCCGACTTAACTCGCGAAACTCTGCCGGACGATCGTCATCGTACGCTTCTGATCGTCGTCAGGCCGCGCTGTCGCCCTTCGTCGTCGCCGTCGTCGTCGTCGTCCTCCCGCGCGACGACGTTGAACCCGCATGGACCAGCCGCCGGCGCGGATGAGGCCTGCCGCTCGGCGTCGCGGCGCGAAATGATCCTGTGGGGGACACTTCGCCGCGGCGCGCTTGCGCGATGACTTTGCTGCGTTCGCCGCGGATAAAGCGCGAACCGGTTACGCGCAGACCGCTTCTCCTCTCTTCTCTCTGCTACCCTTACTATCTCTCTTCGTCTATCTCGTCGCGCGACGCCGCGGCCACTGGGGGATGACCGCTGCAAGATCGGGGGTGCACACATATATATACACACACACACACACACATACACACACGCCCGACGTTCGTCGAGGGGTTCGTCTTGTTGTCGACCCCGCGGTTGTCTCCGACGTCTTCGCGAGAATTATGATGTTGTCACTGCTGACAGATCGGCGAACTTTGTCCATATTAGACGTCAGTTATTAGCGGCTGTCGTAATTCTTCTTCACCTTCGTCCTAAGTGCAGTCTAATTATATGTATAGTGCATGTCGCGAAAATTGTCATTTTTTCAGGAGACAAAACCAGTGGACGCTATATCTGAACGCCGAAGTAACATGTACATAATATAAAAATTGCAAATGCATGTTTCACCAAAAGAATTTAATTCCTATTGAATAAGTTATTCTAAATAATCCTCGTCGCTCTTGATGAATCCAATAAATATATATACATATATATTAATAGTGCACTAAAATTAGATAGAATGTCATTCGTTTTAGGCACATATGCACAGACACACGTTCTCCTCTCTTCTTCCCCTTCTCCCCCTTCTCCTTCTCTTTTTCTTTCAAAGTTGGTAATTTCGCATGCTTGCACTACGGACCATTGAACTCCAGCAAGACTCAGCAAGTATTGCCAAACTGCAGCACATTGGTAGCGACGCGTAACGTGTTCCTGTTTACAGAAAGTTATCGACGTGAATACCGTTGCCAAGTATGTACCGCAGGCTCGGTCCTATCGACAATAACGGCTGTTAATGTTAGTGCGCGGAGGAAACTCTCGATTGTGAAATGAACGCTATATCGGAGGAAGGCTTATAGAAGCTGAGATCTATGAATGCTTCGCTCAAAAGCTTGGCGATCCACGAATCTGCAGGATCACAGACTAATAGTTTATCGGTTGAAAGTGTTTTTGAATTACATATTTTGCTAATAACAATTTGTTTCATGGTACATGAGCATTAGCGATCTATTACGAGCAAATCCCTTATTGCAAGACTAATTTAGATTTGCCTTGATGAAAATATCTCTATTTCCTTTCTGCATATATCAATTGTAAATTAGCAGTTAATCTTCAATTTCTCTTGAATTCACAGATTAATCCGTTGCAATGTTAATACTACCAGCCTTTGATTATCGAGCGGGAATTAATTATGTCATTGGACGGATTTGCTTTTAAATCTTCTGAGATAATCATTTATTGATCGTGCGAGTATTTTTCGATGGATTTGAGAGTTTGCCGAAATTTCGCAACGGCGCGGCGTGGTTTGATGTTGACGAAACTATTTCAATGTCGGATCCGCTCAAACGGGGTTTTGACTTTCTTTTAGGCGGATCGCCACTCTGTTTAGATCATATAACGGGCTTTGCCGGACGGCTCCATCGAAACGAGTAGGCGGGCTTTAGCGATTCTAAAAGGATACGTGCCAGCGCGTGCTTTCAGATGGGACGGGATTGATCGAACGGATCTAGAGCAAAATGTTCCGCCTGTTACACGTCTATACGAGATCGTGCGGCGCGGCATGCCCATGCCATGGTGTGTAGCCTTCGTTGTCGAGTGGTATTTGTTCAAGCCTGCAGTTGGTACACCGAACGCTCCACGTTAACGAGAATTCTGCGTAGTTGATCTTACGAGCGGAATAATATATCAGGGATCTATTGAGTTATGGTACTGATGTGAATCGGACATTGCTACATTAATCAGTCGCTACATCAATACGTTCTGCGGTATGCAGCGGCATACATCGTGGTCGAGAGTGTCGAGACAGATTCCGACGTGTACTGTTCAATTTTCTTCGTGTGTTGCCTATGTGTTCTAATGATTAACGTGGTAATCAAGAGAAACAAAGAAAGATTTCGATTATTATTAATATCACGAATAATAATAAAATAAATCCTTATATAAATTGTCCATTACACTCGTATCATAATCTACTACATAATCACGTTTAATCGGTTTTTAAGAAACCTGAATTTACAAAAGATTATTATTTTTCTCTAATTATTCTTCGAACGAAAGGCTCATTGTTTTTATCGACAATAAATTTCTACGGGTTTTACAATGTACGAAATGTTAGGAGTTCTATTTGTACTTTTCATTACATTTAATCTGAAGTATTAAATTGGAAAAAGTAAATAATGTATTTATTTAATATATAAAGGAAAGCTAGATAAATTACAGAAAGAATCTATTGTATTTTAATTAAAGATAAAATTGTCTATTATTTATTTATAAAACAAAATCAAACATGAGGTATAGCAAGTATTATAAAATTAAAATTATCGTAATGTACGTATATCTATGTATTAAAATTATGTATATTATTGCGCTATATGCAAGGTTTCCTTGCTTATTTTGTTTGTCTATGTTGATCATTATTGTATAAGATACTCTACAAAGTTATGTGCGACCGTGAGGTCGAAATTTCGAGCTGGTGACATTTCGCGTATACACTATAACTTTGTCAACATTTCAACTAAATATTTAGTCAACATGCATCCACTTGCAAATAATACTCAACGATCCATGCAAACTCAAAGATCCATCCCGAAACCGCAAGAGTCGAATTCCCAACATGCGCGGAACGTCGAATATAAGCTGCCTCGGTCTAATCCCTCGCTGGCGCATGGCGTCGTGCACGTAAGCAACCGGTTATATCGACAGCATTCAAAACCGTACATCAAGTTTAGCGTTAATCGCGCGGGGTGAACATCGGGGGTCCAGCATGTTTTCGTGCAATTTCAGATCATTAGCCCCGATTTTCTGGAATTTCCACCGCAGCGCAAATTAAAACGGATCTGTCTTCGCGATGACTCTAATGATATGTCCACTTTCACAACGTTTACATTTTCACAATGACGATTTGGAATAATACTAATAGAGTATTATATGTTTCAGTGGAATGTTTGTCGTGATCAAATAGCTCCCATAATCTACTCAATTGCTGTTGTACAGAAATACAGTTATTGATTCTATAATTATTAATAATTCAATGTCATAAAATATCATAAAAAGGGAGTAAGTATTATAAATCTGTTAAAATATGGTGTGCAATTCTGTATGAAATAATTAGATAGTTTGTATTTTGTAATGAATTATTACGAAGCTTGATATCTATTAATTGAAACGCTGTATAGATTTCTTATCAAAATTTTGTAAAATATGCTTTTGCGTAAAAAAAGAAGTATGAAAAATTAATTGTTCTCCAAAATTTAATCGATAATTGTAAGCCTGAGGGAAATATTAAATTTTTGTGTATCTAAATTGCTCTCCATTCTTGTATAGCAATAAGCTGCTAATTTAAAATACGAGTTGTTTTTCATTTGCGGTGTTTTGATTTTTAGCCAAACAATATTACAACACCGTTATAATGCTCTGAGATTATTATCAACATGAATAGGCAATAACAGCAATAACTCGCCGAGCATATTTACGCAATTTCAGGCCGAGAATGGATCGTGTTGGTAATACTCGCTCGAATCGCCATGTTGTTCCATGGGTATACATTCGGCTTTTATTTCGATAATCGTCGGGGAATTAAACGCTCGCAGAGTTTTATCATGAGAGAAGGCGCGGAATTAAGTCCGATTTTAGCATACATTATTTAAATAGAACCGCCGCGCGCCACTTGGCGAACAAACAGTTGCAATATTACTTTGTGCCGGCCGCGGCCGGTCTAAACGCGCGTTAATGACTAATTATCTTTTACATACTAGCGAAAAATACAGTCGCGAATCGCGCATGCACAATACAGTAACGCGTTTTCGATATTTCATGCAGTGAATTTTACTAGGAGGTTAACCCAACGTAAAAACTGGCAATTTGCTATAATATCTCTCGCATGGCATAGGCAAATATGTACGCACATACGCACGCACGCACGCACGCATTTTCGTGTCATATCGTGCCGATTATCGATTTTAGTACGGCGTGAAACATCGCGGTTGAAGATTAGCGTCGTTTGATCGCATTTACTCGCGGGAAATTCGCGTTGACCTAATATCAATTGCGTGACGTAATATTCTATTCTATGTTTTGCCTTTATAACGGTATTGTTCTGTTATGATGCTAGATTTATTTTGATATTTAACATTTATAATAAATGATAACAGAGAACTTTTATTAAAGGACGTGAGATATACGTCATTTGCTATAATTACATCATTATCATTCGTTCCTTACACTTTGTAAATTACCTTGGGCATTATACTTATCGTTATTCCGACACTCATTGCGTTGATGCTATTTTTACATTGTCGCTTTGCTTTTGGCGCACTTAAAAATGCAACAATCTACGGGTTCACGGCTGGAGGGTATTCTTCTCATTGCCCCATCTCATTTCGCTCTTATCAGAATTTTTCAAGGCAGTTGATTTAGTGTCGTAACGAGCTGCCCTTTGTGAGACGCCTTCTCATGCTAAACACCGCCATTTCACTACCAGCTAAGAAATCGCGGTTTAAGAACCAGCCCGCGGGTTCCCACCCGCATTCCACGGCTTCAATGCTGTGAGTGATATCGATTTTCTTGACGGGCCGTTTCCGCGGTATAAACGGGCCATTACCTTTAGTATGTCTTCCTTAACCTGTGCTGCTTCCCATTGCGTAATGGTGGTGATAGGGTTTTTGGGTTGTGTAGTTTTCTATAACAATTGTGCATACATATGTATAGTGTCTATTCTCCTTTTATTAAAGGAACGAGACTCTGACCCAATTATGTCTGCAGAATACCATAGTTTTGGCGACGAAAAATTAACATCGTTCGTTTAATGGAGGAATTATTTCTCTTCCAG